GGAAAAGCTGCCCCCCACATAAACCTCCACCTCACACCAAAGCAGGAATAAACTTCACTCTGTTTCAGTGCTTTCCTTAAAACAAACAATACATTAACTTATTATGCAAGAAATATGAACCATAGTGTTACATCATGATGTAACAATGTAATTAATTTCAATAATATTGATAGTGCAGTGAGATTCTGTTACATATGTAATTGTCGAATGCCACAATTGTTTTGTTGATTTTTTATGGTTGATTTGTGTACAGTTACCATGAAAATCCTGGCACTGTGCATTGCTATATTAGCCATATGCTTGACTGTGTGTGTGCATCCATGTGCATATTCCCCAAACTGACCTGCAACAATATTTAAAGGGCGGAAAGCGTGCAATATGGCATGACATTCTATGCTATATCATTTTTGGTATACAGTAAAGATTAGATACTATGTTCATATTTCTCATGCATTAAATTGTGCTGACTTAGTTTCAAGGAAAAATGTTAATTTCATGCGATATAAAAAAAAGATGAAACTCAAATTAACTTTATTGTCATCTCAGCTGCATGTTGTATGGGTTATACACCGAGATTAAATATTGTTCCTCATTCGCCATAGTGCAAAAAAAATTATGTTATAAACAGAATATAAATATGTAAGACATATAAACATAAGACATATTAAGACACAAGACAGTAAATTATAGACATGAACATAAGACAAGACAAAAATAAACACCTGATTAGGTAGCAAAGAGTGTGCAACTAGGTAAAGATATTAAAATCTTATTAAAAGATGCTAAAGTTTGTGGATCTTGTGTCTCTCCATGTTTTGATTATTGGTCTGAAATCCCAACCTCCCTCTGTTTGTTGATCCTTTTACAGTTGAACAGTTAATTTTACATTTGTCACTGCCTGCTGGGCCACTGTGAAGCCTCAAGGCGGCAGACAGTAAAAGCTGCTGGCCAAAGAAATGATCAGATACCCAGCAAACCTGGAGGTGTGATGTCAGTGGTGATCAGTGTGATGTCAGTGGTGATCAGTGTGATGTCAGTGGTGATCAATGTAATGTCAGTGGTGATCAGTGTGATGTCAGTGGTGATCAATGTGATGTCAGTGGTGATCAATGTGATATCAGTGGTGATCAGTGTGATGTCAGTGGTNAACATGTTTCTTGTCATGAACAAGGTGTCTTTGGCTTGTCATGGATAAAATTACTGTATTGCGTCTCAGAATTCTTCAGTAGAGCTGTTCAGTATTTCAGTTATATTGTATTTGGTGGTCTGATTTGTCTAACTGAAAACTCGGGCTCCAGATAAGTAAGTCAATGATTCCAACCATGTGGAACAGGTAGAACAATGTTTAGGGATATGATATTTCATATGTGATTCCACTTCAGATAATATACTTGTGTTTGCTTCCATATAAAACAAAAGCAAATTGATAATGAGCAAGATAAATGACGCATACATTGCTCAAGAAAAATATGGCAAGCTTAGCCCCCGTTAAAGGACTCGCTTAATATTTCGAAATGTTTCCTGTACACATGGCCAGTTTTACAAAGTAGCGTGCAGACTTAAGTATGATTCTTGTAAATGTCACAGTTTCATTATTGCGCAACCTTAATGTCTAACCGAGCTTTAATGACTTACTCTTGTGCAGGGTTCGTGGAGCTTGGCCACGGACATCAATGACAGACAGACCGACAGTAAGAAATCACATTTATTATAGCTATACTAAAATTAACATTATTATAACTCAATCCAAAAAGACCTTAAACTTTCCCTTTTCCAATACTACACACACACACACACACACACACATATACTGTATATGTATAAACACTTGAGAAAGGATACTGAGGTCCACCTGCACCATAAATCCATTTATGTAGCGACCTGGGAGCATTCTGAGTGATAAATTTTACCTAATGAAAATACCACAGTCTAAAGAAAATATTATTACGAGCCTCTACCTTACACGACTCCCCACCTCTCCAAAAAAAAAAAAACATGACAACGTCCCACAATAATTTTTGCAGAGTTCCCCACGATACCTTTCGTTAACCATCTACTGGACTGCTATGGATAAAACGAGGAGGCTAATATCTGTCAAAGATCAAATACAGCAATAATAACAAATAAAGTGATTGTTTTCACAAGGATAAGCCCCTAATCATTTTTGGTGCAAAGTGTCTCAAAATTTAAACACGTCCAGACCTTCACACCCACAAAGTCTGAAGAAGATCAGCCGTTTTAAGTTACTGTGAAAACAGGATCAAATGTCTGAAACTACCATATTTTTGCTATCACAATGTGGCGTTGCTTCAATTTTGGAGTGATATGTCTCAAAATTTCACAACTTCCAGTTTTTGAACTTTTAGAATTACTGTGTTCACAAGACCAAGTCTCTTCTACAGCTGCCATTTCCTTCCTTTGCTGCCACACAGAGCTGCTGCTTTATTTCAGGTGTAGATCTTCATCATACAAAGTTTTTGTGAAGCAGTGCAATTACGGCTTTTGGGAATGAGTTTGCACCCACCCTATATATTGCAGGATGGCCAGTACTGAAAAATAAAATGCTGTGTCCTATTTTGAACCAATATTGGATGCAATTTGTGTCATATTTTCTGACCTAATCTGATTGATTTAGTATTTCATGGGCACATTAAACTAAAGTACAATTTAGTGTAACATCAACAGTGCTCCAGCAGCTCAAACCTGCTAACAATGCAAAGCTTGTGGGTTCAGATCCCAGGGGAAACACATAAATTGTGGCCCTTCCCTGTACTGCAATGGTGCATTTCCACTGCCACCAGGAACTGAGCCATACCTAACCCATACCGCAAACTGGTGGTTTTCCAGTGTAAAGTATGAAAGCTATACCCGACCCGAACCTCTGCTCACTAGTGCTCATGACAAGTTTAATTCAGTAAAATCTGACAAAGGAACACAGGGATACAGTGTATCATTGGTTTACGTAACCTCTGCCTATAGTAACAATTGTTTGTTGGTACTGCTGAATAATGCCTTCTGCTGACGGTAAACAGACTTGCGCGTGGGAAACTGAATCGATAAATCGAGATTGCAAAAGAGTTGCCTATAGTACACACAGTAGATTCTGGTTATAGCCCAAAGCAAGTAAAAACAAATGATTAATTCTATGATATTTTATTTGAAAATGATAATAATGACTTGTAACCTATGCTTAGACTTAAAGTGGGTACTCATCAGTATGCAGTACCTCTTTATTTTTCTCTTCAGAGTACCAGGAACATTTCTGGTACTGAATAACAAGGGAAGTACCTGCTTCTTCTACCTAAAGCATTGGTAAGACTGCATTTCATGGATGTTCATTTGTGGAGCATAAGCATATATCTCGCTATTTAATTTCATTTCTAAAAATGATGTTTAGCGATTTTTTAAAATACACAAAGCCTAGCATTTTTAACGTTGTGTTAGCTAAATTAATATTGAGTCACCCATCCATCTATCCATCCGTGTACCATAAAAAAATAACTGTTCAGAAGCAAATGGCATAAAACACGGGGCAGGAAGCGCAATGAATGCCAGGGCACTGATAAGGGCAATTTGAAAATGCTGAAAATGGATGGATGGATGGATGGATGGATGGATAATTCAGGTAAGCCGTAGTATTTGTACGAGATAACCCACACAAACTCCGCACAGAGGCAGAGGGAATCACTTTGTTCCTTAATGAACCATTTCGTTGCCCCATCCTGTAAGCACACTAAATTGTATTTTATGGATGTAGCGAATGTAGTACAGCTTAATGTGTTGAAGCACCAGCCTTTCTGTTCTCAGCCTGTAGAATTTACACAAGGAAATTCAGACATCAGGAATGAAGGGCCCTTCACAAATGTTAATGCAATATCGAGATGTTTTCAAAGAGCAGAGTCACCTACTTAAACCACCCAAATGTGAGTACATATTAACCCTATTGCATAGCACACCTTTCTGATACAGTTCATATAAAGTTTATTATTGATATTTGTCATCTGCATATCTTTTGCTTGCTTGTTTTTATGATTCAGTTTATGTTGCCACTGTCCTACCAAGGGCCGTTTTAGACCACAGTGCTTTACATATCAACATTTACAGTCAAATACATTTGCTGGCTGGCTATCAGTTTTACAATATCAATAATCAAGTGGTTAAACAGTTTTTGTAGCCTGTTGTACAGTTACGAGATTTAGGCTACATCTATTAATATAATTCGTGCATTAACTCGAAGCACTAACCATCACTATCTGATGGTGTCTCATTTGTTGAAAGGCAGGCCTATAGGGGTCGTAACAAGGAGCATAGTTACTAAACAAAAAGTTTCCGTTCATTTGCAATTGCGCGTATGAGTGGCTAGCGGTTATTTTAGGTGGAATGCAAACCATGTGAAGCATAATTGCCGATTGTATAAATTCGTCCAATGTCAAACGCACTTTCTTAACAAAACGTCAATGTCCAGTTTCAAAAGCTCGCAATCTTCAGACATACGCTTTACAACATTGCCATACTTTTAACATGAAAATCCACCACAGAGTTGACATATAGTCGGTGAATTCTCAAATATATATGAAAATTATGAGAAAAGGCGCCAAAAATTCAAATTTGAGACGTGTGACTTAACACATCAAAAAAATTAAAATCTTTTCAAAAACAGGTCAAATTATGACTACAGCGTACTCGTAAAATAACTATAAAGTTACGACTGAAAATTTGGAACATCGTGCCAAATTCAATAGGCGATACATGTTTTCACAAAGATCAAGAGTAAAACAAGTAAACAAAAACACTTAACTGATACAATGTGCATTGAAGAAACGCTACACATTATACCAGTAACAGAACTGATAAAGTGCGGTGTAAGTATGGAGAATGTAGTTAAAAACTTCACGAGTGTCTGGCTGCAGTTTCCAATCACTACAACATCCCTGTGTCTTTAAAGCCGGGCGCTCAGACTCCACCTCCCCTGTGACACTGCTGTCAGTAACACACATTTAATTGGGACTGTCAGTGTGGTTGCAGGAAATGACAAACGGAAGGTAGGCGCTGTGGGACGGTTATCACGGCTAACTAAGTGTCTGTCTATTATACCTTTTAGGACTCGCTACTATAATGCAGTTGTTAGGACCCTAAACAGTAAGTTGTTTTACTGTGGGTCGTACGTTATCTTTCCAGTTAGGTTCCTTGATCTGATAAGGCTGGCGTAGTCGGAAAACTCGCAAAAGTGAATGTAGTTCCTCGATGCTATAAAAATCAACATATTACTAGCGATTTGGAATGAATTTTAACAGCGATTCTTCACATTCCAGGATAGTTACAATTCTTGCGATGAAGTACCTTCACGGCGCTTGGTTGTTTTGGTAGGTAAACCAGCACGGAAATGTCTCTCGGTTTTTATTGCATATGACTGTCAATTCACATGTTCCTCATGAAAATTACCAGTTCTAATGATTATCTGGACATAACTAATATGATGGTGAGTAAAAGCGTGGAATGGCTACAAGATGCGCTGGAATCCGGTGGGAACTCGCTGCTTCTGTTGGACTGCAGATCGCACGAACTCTTCGGATCCTCTCACATCGAGACGGCCATCAACTTGGCAATACCGGGACTGATGTTACGGAGACTCAGGAAGGGGAATCTGTCCATCCGATCGATTATCCCAAATAACGAGGATAAGGAAAAGTTTGCGAAACGGTGTAAAACGGACACCTTGATATTGTACGACGAGGCCACTTTGGACTGGCAAGATGGAACGACGACTTCAGTTCTTGGGCTTCTGCTTAACAAGCTCAGAGACGACGGATGTAAAGCCTATTACCTGGAGGGTAAGATGGTTATTCACAGAAATGTCGCTAAAGTGAGATTACCTGAATTTGAAGTACTTACTCCTCGCACCCGATGACTTGGATAAATGAATGTTAAATAATGGGATAGTTAACTTTGTATTTCTGGACATTATTTTAGCGCGAAATCTTAAAGATATAATTAATTTATATGTAGGCTACAGTATGATTGAAACTATAGTTAAATATCTAACTAAAATGAAAAAGTAACCGCCTCGACATTGCGTGGCGAAATGGTCAGTTTTGAAATGTCCGTAGGTACCTTTAAGTTTATTGTTCTCTTAAGAGTTAATAAAACTTGTCTAACTAGTCAACTAGATTTCGTAGCTTTACCCCAAAAGGCCAAAAAAGTCTAAGGCAGTTTATAGTATGTGGAAATTATTCGATAGACTATATCTTTAAACTTAAGTCCATTCTCTGCTCTTCATTTACTAAGTGAGATCACCAGCTAGTTACATATTAAGCGCATTTAACGTTTTCGTTCTGATCAGGACTGAACGTGGTTTACAGGACTGCATGTATAATTTAGAATAAACCATTACACACCCGAAGCGTGTCTTTAACCTGGTCGGAGTGTAAATATATCGCCACTTTTTATACTTGAAACTGAAGGAATGTGACGAAGATAAGAATGTTCTCAATTAAAATTCCAAAATGGCTCCGCCATGTTGCTGTTCTTTTAGGAAAAGCCATGTTTTTAATGAATGGACAGGAAGAGAAAACGGATGCGGTTTTTGGTAACTTTAAAATTAGTTAACGATAAAGGTTAAAAAGCAGACAGGCATGTAATATGACCGTAAAATTCATGCTCATTGTTTTCAATCTCTAATGAAAAATGAAACGAAATTGCGGGAGGGTGCTGTTAATATTGGATATTCGAGTGAAATGTGGGATGTTGGCGAAACCAGATAAGGATTGTTTTCATAGTTTTCTCCATAGTAGACTTGGGTTGAGAAAGTAGATTTTAAATTGCTTATTTATCATTTTTTCCTCTGATAAATGAAAAATGCGTATTTTTCACAGAGATACTAAGAAATGTCGGTTGGGTAAGATGTTTACATGCTGAATGGACAGTGTGGCTAAAAAATAATGCAGTCAATGAAACGTGCTGTAAGAATCGGGGAAGGTCAGTAATGGTTACAAGTAATGATTTACAATTAGGATACAATCAGAGGTTGAAGATAGTTATGCATCTAAATAGGATTAAACAATCACACTCACACTCATATATATGTTTCGGGATCTTCCTCCCCTTAAATGCGCACCGTCATATAACACAGTGATTCTTAACATATAAAGTCGTTGATATGAGCTTTGGCGACGCGGACTTTCCCTTTTAGGCGTTTTTGAACCAACCTAACCTGCCATCTGTGGCTTGAAAACTAGCTGGACTGGTAGTGGGTTGTTTTAGCAAACAGTTCTGTATGTTTTAATACCGGAACTTTTCACATTGATATTCATGGTTATTTGGTTTTGTTTCTTTTTGATTTTAGAAAAACTTACCAGTTCTGTGACAAAGATATTACATTATTTTAACACTGTATCGCATTCTTAAGGACTGTTATTAAATTCTGCTTAAATTATTTTACAAAGTTGCCTAAGAGTATGCAAATTATACAACTAATTTAACAGCACTGCTAATTTACTGTCTACAAATTATTTCCCGACTGATTTACTGATTATGGGTAATTTCCATCATGAATTTCACTCGCATAAGAAGGGGAAAATAACATATCTTGATTTAAAAAGTGAGAATTCTAAAGACCAGTAATGACTGTGATTCAACCACTGAGCTACCTTTAGGCTTGCGATAGAGGTCGTAATAAACTTCCGTAATTAGCAAAGCCAGATTGCTAATGCACATATTGGTAGCTGCTACAATTACACATTTTATCTGGTCTTAAAAGTAGTTTGGGACACTATACATCGACTTTAATATTGGGAGATGCCACAGAAAAAGGCAGTTTTTCTTTATTATATTATTACATATCATTGGGTAACATGACTTTTTTTTTTTTTTGCAATCCATTTCTTATTTCACTGTATTGTATGTACCATCTTACTGTATTGTATGTACCATCTTACTGTATTGTATGTACCATTTTCTGCCTTATTCCTCTTGCTATCATTATTTTTATTCTTAGGAGGATTCAGCAGGTTTCAGACTGAGTGTCCTGAGCACTGTGAGACAAGCCTGGATGTTTCTTGCTCCACCGGCTCCCCTCCTGCAGCGGTACTGGGTTTAGGCGGGCTGCGGATCAGTACTGACTGTTCGGACAACGAGTCGGACCGAGAGCCCAGTAGCGCCACCGAATCGGAAGAAAGTCCGTTGCCCAGCAGCCAGCCCGCCTTTCCTGTCCAGATCCTGCCCTACCTTTACCTGGGTTGTGCCAAAGACTCCAGCAATCTGGATGTATTGAGCAAAAACAATATAAAATACATCCTGAATGTGACTCCTAACCTGCCCAACACGTTTGAACATGACGGAGATTTCAAGTACAAGCAGATCCCCATCTCAGATCACTGGAGCCAAAACCTCTCGCAATTTTTCCCAGAGGCTATATCTTTCATTGGTAGGTATTCAGTTATTTTTTTCACTGTTTTGAGGTTATGAGAACTCCTTTCACTTTTTAAATTTTTTATTTTTTTTTATTTTTTCATTTTAATCTTTTTTTTTTTTTTTTTTTTGAAGTGCAGTAGTGAATGGGAAATCCATGAATCAGGTATATTACACAACAGAAATAATGTTACCTGTTACAATAATATAATAATGTTCTGATAAAGAACTAGGGATTTCCTGAGCTGTAGTAGCAATAATGTGTGAGACATCCGCTTTGTCGTCTCATAAGAGGCATCCTCTTACACAAGTGACCTGGGCAAAATGTTGTGAAATGAAGCCTTCTACTGATTTAATAGTGGTACTTTGTTAATGATAAAATGGTATGGGGTAATTTGGGGCATATAGAAAATTGTTGACTAACGTCAATACCAAGTACTTTCAAATGGACCAAGTAATTAACTGAATTGTTCTGGAAACAGATACTGAGAACATTAAATGCACGTACTCCCTTTTCCTCTGGGATATCTTGGAAGAGTGAAGTCAACTGACTTATTTATTTATTTTAGGAAAGAGGCTTTTGGTACAGAGAATGAAAAGCGACCAGGATGACTGTGTCACAGGCTGTTTGGCTATAAGTGGGCTCAGTGGCTCTTCTGAGTGCCGTTTTGTGAAAAACGTGAGGTTTGGTCGTGTATGGGGTCGATCCTCCAAGACATTCATTTCAAAGCCCGAGTCACATTGAAAACTCCTTGGTTTTCAAGACATTTTTAAAATAACTGCTACATTATAAACACGCAACAGAATGGATTAGATTTCAGATTTTAAGGTTGTTTCCACAAAGTAACTCCGTTTGTACAAGTTTATGTATTTTGTAAAATTAATTTGGGTGAGTGTTAGAAAAATGTGTTGGTTGTCTTTTAATGTATGTTTTTGCAAGCAATTTCATGGCTCTGAGGTCTGATTGTGAACATCTGTCTTGTCATGGTCTTTCTGCAGTAACGGCATCATTTGTGCAATAGACCTGTTTTGTTTTTGTCACATTATTTTAACACTAACCTCTTCAGAAAAAGTCTAATTTTAATTTTATTTATGCTGAATCCTAGTTTAGGAGCAGTGCAGGGGCAGCTAGATACTGCTCTGCCTCTTGCCATTTTTCCACTCGCCGTAATCGGGGCGTCTCTCAGCGCTGTCATTATCGCCCTCTCTGGCTGTTTCTAATTATACCGATGTACTTGGAGAATCAGAATGTTTATTTGGTTCGAGAGAATATTCAAGCAGTTTGTTTTGACAAAGGGTCTCTGTTGGACAGACTAACAATGGCTAGAAAGGTCAGGGGGAAAAAAACCTTGGCAAATCTTTGCGTTCCTTGATGACTGTGCACTGGCAGACATCTCCACTTGACCAATGTGAGCATGAGTGTTTAAGAAGCGTTTTAAACTAAAAGCAGCAGATGAAGAAATCAAATGCCAGTTTCTTGTTCAGGTGTGGGTGCTGAAGACTGAGGTATCGCCACCGATAAAGGTTTTGTGACAGGATAGGTTATTAACCTTGGGGGTTATGTTTGGATCTACTGCCTGCCTAGATGGAAACAAGCTAAGGTTAATTATTCCTTTATTGAGGGACCATTTTGAAGTATTTTCTGATATTATAAATGGCATATTTTAGAATGGTAAAAGTTATGGTTTGTACATCTAGTTATTTCTAGTAATGTCCTTATCAGATGGAAGTAATCCTCCAAGAACAGTTTGTGTGTTCTGAATTAAACAGGCAGGATTAATTAAAAAAAAAAAATACACTGAAATTGCTGTTTTTAATAGTTCAAGTAGGTTACAGGCATCGATTCTGGCAGGGGACCCAGGTTATCAAGACGGGGCCACATTGAGAAAAACCGTGAAAGAACGAGAGAACTTAAACTGCGTGAGTGGAGAGTTACAGAGTGAAAGGGTCAGCTCTGTTTTCAGCTTGCTCGGTGAATATGCCAGTTTCCCTTTCACACTGGTCATTGGGCGGTCAGAGTTTCAGTTTGAAGAAAACCCAGAGGCTGGCATTTCTGATGGGTCTCCTGCCAGAGCTGTACTGCTTTGATCAGATACTGTCTGATGTGATTCCGATCTTTGTGCTCTGCATAGCAGGGTCCGGGCATTATTGTTGCAGGGCTGTGCATTCATGTTTTTGCTGTTATAAGTGGAAATGGGGGATTTCCTTCCCTGCCAAAGCCAGCTCTTTTTTTTTCTCAATAACCATGGCAGCTACATCAGTCTGAAAGTAAAAGTGCCTGCGAGACTTATCCTAGACTGAGTGGGACAGAGTTTCCTGATGATGTGAAAACATCCTGTCTGAAGCCTGACACCCATTCTGCACTGCCATTAGCAAGCCTCCCTCCACTTGTCAGGGCATCATAGCCGTCTTTCTCATTATTCTAGTGGGGCCACCTGTTCCAAAACTCACCCATAAAAATGATTAAAATCAAGCTCTAAATTGTTTTGCCAGAATGACTGAATACAAGGGAAAGTTATTTTTCCAGCAGGGAATGGGCACTAATTGCACCGCAGTGACTATTATTTTATTATTTTACTACAATACCGCAGTGCCTCTTCAATGTTGACGATTCTTGTTTGTCTCTCAACTACCTCAGGGCTCTGTGTCAGCTTTCACTAAGCTTCATAGCTCCCAGCATGTATAGCTGGTGACTTTTTTTTTTTTTTGCACAGTAACTGTAATCACACAGTAAAGAATGCAGTACTGGTTAGGGTTTATCTCTAGTTGGCTCCATCTTTTTCGATCATGATCCAGTGCTTCTATCACATCACATTCATAAAATTAGTGCAGCCCTTATCCTTTGTGCTGCATTTTGTGTCCTATCCTTGCCTTATTAATCTGGTACCTGGTCCCGAAGTCAGCAGGCCCTGCCTATGTATAAGGTGTAAAGCCCTCTCCTTTAGCTGGACTGAAATGCTGACATGGATAGTTTTAGTCTAACCCTCCATCCTCCGTGTTTAAGTTAAGCACACCAGAGGGCTGTTTCTGTCATGTCCGCTCAAAAGATCTGTTGTTTTGAATTGCATAAACGGGAGGAATCAAACAAACTGTACACCCCTGGGCTGGGGGCAACCACAACTGCCTTTTATGTTCAAAGGGACAGCAGGAGGCTACTTTTATTACCATTTTGTATCTGAATATAATAGTGGGGCATGTGCTGTACGGCAAGCCCCAAGCCAGTCTAGATTCAGTTTGTAATCAGTGGACACATCATCCATTCATTTCTTGGGGTAATAATCATTTCTGTGTCACTGTATTTCTTGGTTGGAAGCCATTTTAATCCGATTTCCATGTCTGCAATGTGTCAACATAAGGTAGTGTTGTGTTTTTTTGTTTTTTTCTTCCCCCCTTCACTAGTGGTGACAAGATAATCCATGCCAGGGAGTACATTTTAAGCTACAGCAGGATTTGTAAACTTGCATTTCAATTAGAAGGACCTGGATTTCAGTTAAACATTGAGTTTTTGCCATGTGCTGATAGGCATGACAATACATGACTGACTGACTAATGTCACTAACGTTAATGTAAAATGGGTGGACAAGTCTTTCAATCAAGGAAATAAACCAGTCAAAGCACAAGAGGGACTGAACCGTTTAGCCAAGCACAGAAGCCTTTCAGTTTTAAAGTAGTTTTGTAAAACCTGAAGTAGCTCAGGGTCCCCCCTGACATGGATTGTCTGGTCACGCTACCTTAGCCATTCTGCTTAGGTGGCTTCATGGTGCAGTTGCTGCTCTCGGTGATGAGGTATATGCCTGCCACTTACTGGACCAGGTGTTCCTGAAACCCAGATGCAAGACTCTAAACCTCTAAATCAGGGGTCTTCAGCCTTATTTACATTGAATTTTTATTTTTTTTTTTAAATAAGCTAGGAGGGGCTTAAATTATCCGTCCAGTCTGCTGCCATGACAGTGTGGCACTCATTGTCTGAGACAAAGTGAAATACATATGCAAAATACATCATTGGTTGTCTGAAGCTATTAGTAGCTTGCAGTCGATGTGCTGGTGACCGCTGCTCTAAACAGATGGATTCTTATGTTTGAGTTGCGTGTCTTTGCTGGTGAAGCTTCACATTTCGCTCTATAATTAGATTTGAGGGTTCGTTCTGAATATAAGGTCGCTGAATAACTGGTAGGCCAAGTGAGGCCAATATGACTAAGGATCTTGTTCATTCTCGCACTTGTCCCACAGAAGAAGCTTGTTCCAAGAAATGCGGTGTCCTGGTGCACTGCCTGGCCGGGATTAGTCGTTCCGTCACCGTGACCGTGGCCTACCTGATGCAGAAGCGCCATATGTCGCTCAACGATGCCTACGACTTTGTCAAGCGGAAGAAGTCCAACATTTCCCCCAACTTCAACTTCATGGGCCAGCTGCTGGACTTTGAGAGGACCCTGAAGAGCCCATGTGACAATCGGTCATCCAGTGGCCCGCTGTACTTCAGTACGCCAACCAATCACAACGTCTTCCAGCTCGACACGCTGGAATCCACTTGAAGCCTGACTCCAGAAGGGCAGCTGTTTGTTTGTTTCTCTCTCTCTGCTTAAGGTTGTGCAAATCTCCTGGAGCCCGAGACCAGCGAAATCAGAGAGACCAGCGAAATCAGAGAGACCGTACCACCTTTGATTGCTCTGCTGCGACTTAAGTTTGTGACTTTTTGCCTTCGTAAGAACATTTTATTTTTGTTTGTAAAATAAGGAATAAGCTGAAGGAATAATGAACTTCATGCAAAGAGGGAAAGAAAAAGCACTTCTCGCCTATAGTTGTGGCCTTACTGCTTTGCATGAGGAAGGTATCTGTCGTAGAGGACAGGCTGTTGGTGTTCAGTGTCCACTTAGTAAGAAGACGGTACATACATTTAAATTTATGTATTGAATTAGAACTTTCAGTTTTTCAGAAGAATGTGATGATTACACCCCATTAGTGTACTTTACATATTACTTTTTTTTTGTGCTGACTCCACAGTGGAAAAGCTTTTTGCATCTTACCACTTTAGAGTGGTACTTTGCTCAGATAAAGGCCTATTCACAGATGCAGGAAAGACCAGCACTTACTGAACATACGAACTCTTTGTTTCTAAAACATGGACCTCCTGTCTCTAATACAAGCTCAATTCTCTCAAGCTCAATTCTCTCAACTCTCATGTTGGGTAAGACGTATACATGTGAGTTTGGTGTTTTAACCATGATTAATACTGTCATTTTCTCTTTCTCCTTTTTTTTTTTTTGCATGGTGGTTCAGAGCGTGTTGGCTGGGGGAGATCAGAGGTTGTGAATTATGTGGGTTTATTCAGAATTGGGAGAAGAATGTGGATATCATCAGTCTGCTTGTAGTCACTGCTACTCTAGAGCAGGGATGGCCAATCTTATCCGCAAAGGGAAGGTGTGTTTGCAGGTTTTCACTGCAACTCTCTAATCAGGTCACTAATTAGAGGACTGATTGGCTGAGTCCTCCTCACACCTGGGTTTGAACAGCTGACCTAAAGGTTATCCGAAAAACCTGCATACACAGCAGTCCTTTGCGGGTAAGAGCATATACACCCTGCTCTAGAGCATATACACCATAAACTGGTTTCTGGGTAACAGGACACCATGGGAGGAAATTGGGTGTAATAGTCAAAAGGGAATTTTTAAACTTTGATCAAAAAAGGATGACAAACTTTATATTTCATTGGAGAACTTTTGTTTTTAGCTTTAATTTTTTTAAATAAAATTTTCATATTGGACACCCAAGTATGTTATGGGTATAGCGCTGTTGACTTTCTTATTCTCTGAAATGCACCAACGTTCTTAGTATTTTTCCGATTACAAATAGCCTCAGTTTTCCTATCTGTTAACTTTTGTATCCGATTTGTAGTGTATGTGAGGTAACTGAGAAAGCACAGGGCTACTAATGTATTTTCAAAAGGTGTATTATGCTTCAGGTAATGCTATCAACATCTGTCTGATTCTACGGAATCCGTTCGTTCAAAATCTTTTTCTGTCTGATGCTATAATAGCCACCTTAAAATATTCTTATTCTATTCATTCATTATGAGATGTTACATGAAACTGTAATATAGATGATAGTAGTATTCGTGATTCAAATCACAAACCAATAATTTTGTTCCCAGAATTGCATTTATGTATTTTTTATATATTTTTTAAATTTTTTCCTTTTGAGGCATCATCACCTGCTGTCTTTTAAACAAG